TAGATACGTTTATTTGAATCTGATTACGTTTTCGTAATAATCCGTACCTTTTTAAACGCATCAAACGATCAGAAGATATAAATGCAAGAAAAAAATTACCCATTTCCACATTGATCCATGAAACGTAATCTAAATACAAAAGGCACTTACAGTATATCAGAAATCAATTTAATATTAAAAAAAGCCTAGTCACCAGCAGGTACAATCATTGAAATACGAATACAAATTCTTAGTACAAGATATATACAACGTTCTATAATAGAATATGGAAAACCATCATCACGAAAAGAAGGCAACGATGGCATCAGAAAAAATACAAGATCAAATCGAACAATGATGATATCCGTAAAAATAAAAAATTACTGAGAAGATTTTACAAAAATCGTGAAGATGTTTCTGAACGAGTAAGAGAAGAAACTCTCAAAGGATGGATCAGTACCGCGAGAAAGATATTTATAATGGATGCTTCAGAGAACTTAACAACGTAAATCTAACTTATAAAAAAAAACTAACCAATTAAGAAAATCTTCACGTAATCAATGATGCTCACAAGTATAATTGTTAAGCGAAACTTTTTGCATGGTGACGAAATACGAAACCCAGAACTGGCGAGAGATGAAACCCTGACGAAATCCTAAACCTTCCTGACGAAAGGCGAAAACCAAAATTGGAAATGACGAAAAGCGAAATCTGGTGAAATCTCACTGTATTTCGCGTAATGATGCCCACCTGCGCGTTATAGGAAGACATTTATGTAATCGGCTAATTTACTGTATATCGATATTTATCCAAACATGCGTGTTATTTCGGACGCACACGCGACGTCACTTCGAAGTCATACATGTCATTTTCAGGTGATACGATTATCGAAATGGTGTTCATGGACGTTATTACGCGAAAATACGGTATTAAAAGTCAAAACTGGATGAAATTTATAAGGATAAAAAGCCTAAGCCATTTCCCTAATGTCAAATAAGGTGCGGTTGTTAGACATTGTTGTTATTAGACACGAGAATGCTGAAAGTTTTTTTGTATCCAGTATTACTATAGATTTACATAGTAAATTCAGGATTTGAAGCCTACTGACCTATTACTATTAATCTATGGTTATTAGATATAGTGGGTTATATGAAAATATAAACATGTCACCAAGGAAACCAAACATGGGCTTTGAACTTTAAGTGCGCCAAGTGAAAAACCAGTAATTCTAATTAAGTATTAAAGATTTCTTGACATAGTGTGTCACATTTTTTTTTTTAATTTCGTAACTTTCGCCGGTTCGCATCTAGAAAAGGCGTAAGAATCTGGTGTACAATTGTGGCTAGACAAATACTTAATATTTCGATTGCCAATTTTTTTGATAATAAGTTAACGTCGACTCCAGCGTTAGTTCCTAATATAGATAGTATATATTACAGAATAATAAACTCTAACCTATAGCTATTATATTATAAATACTTAATTTAATAAACAATGTCTAACAACCCATTTTTATGTTTTCATTTCGATATGTATCTTTTTTGTGGAAGAAAATTTATTTCGATTTGCAGGAGGGAATTCATTTCTATTTGCAGGAGAAAATCTCATTTCTATTTGCAGGAGAGAAATCTATTGATATATTAACACGTCTATGAATAAAGGAAGGTTCGGATTTCTATAACCTTCCTGAAAGTGTTTAATACCGACGAAAGGTTGGATCTGTTAAAATTGAGCCGGTAAATCCGACAAATTATTAAAGTTTAGGTATTTAAATGAAATGATTATTTCATAACCTGATACATATTTCCGGATGCGCCAGTTTTTGCTAGCTTTCGTCAATTTCGCCACCTTTTATCAGTTTCGTTATTTCGTTACTTGAAGTTTTAATTGACGAAAGACAACACTAGGTTTCGCGTTTCGTCTGCGCGAAATCTCCAGGTTTCGTCCAACAACTATACTCATCAAGGTGCAAACCTCAAGTTATCAGGGATGCGGTGTTCATGAATCTCATGAAGATATCAAATCCAACTAAGCCGCAAAAAGATGGGTTATGCTTAAGAAAAGGACCAAAAAAGATCCAAATCAATGGTAAAGGTTGTTGCGTTTTGAAAAATATCAGTTTAGAAAAACCTTCACTGGAAAGACTGTATTCGGGAGAAAAACCAAACATTGGTACGCGTACATACCAGTTGAAATGAAGAGTTGAGCGTGAACATATAATGATAAAATAATATCGCCCGACCTTGGCATACGTACATTATTTACAGGATACGATTGTAACGACAAGATAATCGAATTCGGAAACATTAAGACATATCAAAAGAATTGTAAGCCCAAGACCAATTACAGAACGAGCTATCCTCTTGTGATGGTAAAGAATTTAAACAAAAGCGATACATTGCCGAGAGGAAATATCAAGAAATAAGAAAAAGATAACTAATCTCATAAATGATTGCCATCATAAGATTGCAAAATATTTGTGCAAGAATTACGATACGATTTCGCTATCAAAGTTCGATACTCAAGAGATGGTCAGCAAAGAACATATCTTCTGCAAGGAGACCAGGCAGCTCTGATTCAAGATATTCTCATTTCACGAATCAAGATAATACAGAGAACATAAACGTAATCATATTGCCATAAAGAGTACATATCAGTAACATGCACAAGATGCGGAGATGAAAAAACCAACGATGAATTTGGTGATTAAAAAAGATATGATTGTTTTAACTGCAGACTATCATCAATCATATGAAAGGAATATATTAAATCAAATATCTTGTCCCTTCACAAGAGGAGGCTCGGGTACCTCAGACCTGTTAGTTTCCTCATTTGCTAACATATGATTACAAATGTTTGATTTGTCCGTAGGAGAGGAATACAGTACTACAGTACAGTACCCGAAGATTCAATCATTTTTATTATATACCCAGCATTGTGATGAATTAGATATGTTGTAGATGAACATAGAACGTTTGTAGATTCGGAATCAACTTAATTTGATTCCGGATTTTTTTTTTAAAAAAAAACAATAGAATTTATACAAAAGTACAGTAATTATATCTTCAATAGCATTTGAATACTTCTCGACCTAAGATATCAATCTTCTTGGAAGAAAAATCTTTAATTCAACAACCGACTATGATCCTAATACGGTATATCGTTTGCGATGCAAAAGCAAATTCTTGAAATGATTGAATATCCTGCAAATGTAAAAGTGGATACGGGTTTCATCCATGTAAATGTCAAAGATATTACTAATAAAGAATAAACCATTGAATGTGTTTAAAAAAATAAGCAGCTGATAAAGAGATATTGCAGTATATTTTTAGATTTAAAATCAACTTAAGTTGATTCCGAATCTACAGATATACTCAGGGTTGGTCAAATTACTGGTCAACCAAAAATTCATTGGTCAAACTGGTCTGGTCAAATTGGTCAAATGGTCTGGTC